TTTTTTTTATTAAAAGCAATTTATTGGGTTTTACAGTAAGAATAAACATAGTAAACAATATAACATTTGTCTTAACATAGTTTCACATTTTCTTTGGACTTCCTCACATCTCCCGCTCCCACTTTCATCGTTATAACATTTTGTCAGCAATTTATCATCTTATTTAAATTCTTATATCTCTTCAATATTTCATAATCTTATGGTTCTCATAGAGAGTTAAACTTTCACAGTCTTACTTATTTTCTTAAAAACTTCTAAGTCAAGTGGTGCTCAGTTATTTGGTCTAGCATCTTATTTAGCATTCACTCAAATCACAATATTTTTGTAGATAGTTCTTAAATTTCTTCCAATCCTCCTCGATTCTCTCTTCTCCCAGGTCACGAATTCTGCCGGTCATTTCAGCCAGTTCCATGTAGTCTATCAGTTGCATCTGCCATTCTTCCAGTGTGGGTAAATCTTGGGTTTTCCAATGTTTTGCAAGAAGTATCCTTGCTGCTGTTGTTGCATACATAAAAATGTCTGGTCCTTCTTTGCCACCCCTTGGCTGACAATACCCAAAAGGAAAGCCTCTGGTTTCTTGGTGAAGGTATATTTAAATACCTTTTTCAATTCATTATAAATCATTTCCCAGAACGCCTTCACTTTAGGGCAGGTCCACCAGAGGTGGAAGAACGTTCCCTCACACTCTTTACACTTCCAACACTTATTATCAGACAGGTGGTAAATTTTTGCAAGTTTAACTGGGGTCATATACCATCTATAAATCATTTTCATTACATTTTCTTTCAGAGCGTTACATGCAGTAAATTTCAATCCATTACTCCACAACCTTTCCCAGTCCTCAAACATAATATTATACCCAATGTCCTGTGCCCACCTTATCATAGCCGATTTAACCATTTCATCTTGTGTATTCCATTCCAACAGCAAGTTATACATCCTTGAAAGTACCTTAATCTTTGGTTCTAACAATTCTGTTTCTAATTTCGATTTCTCCACCTGGAACCCTAGTTTCTTATCATTTTTAAAAACTTCTTTAATCTGAGCGTAATGTAACCAATCTCGCACTTTGTCTTTCATTTTCTCCAAACTCTGCAATTTCCAATTGTCTCCATCTTTTCTAGTATTTCCCAATATTTTGGCCATTTAGCCTCCATATTGGGTCTTTTTCGGGCCTTAGCTTCCAAAGGTGAAAGCCACCTTGGTGTTTTATTTTCCAGCAAGTCTTTATATTTTGTCCAGACATTAAACAATGATTTTCTGACAATATGGTTCTTGAAGGCCTTATTTGCTTTAACTTTGTCATACCATAAATATGCATGCCATCCAAAAACATTATTAAACCCTTCCAAATCCAACACATCAGTGTCTTCAAGAAGTAGCCAGTCTTTTAGCCAGCAGAACGCTGCGGCTTCATAATACAACTTTAAGTCCGGCAGGGCAAAGCCCCTCTTTGTTTTGCATCAGTTAATATCTTAAACTTGATTCTGGGCTTTTGCCCTGCCAGACAAACTTCGAAATATCTCTCTGCCACTTCTGAAAGCACTCCGCATTGTCCAAAACCTGAAGTGTTTGAAATAAAAACAACATCCTTGGCAATACATTCATCTTAATAGCAGCAATTCGGCCTAACAAAGAAAGTTTCAATTTTGACCAACTGTCTAAGTCTCTCTTAATTTCTGTCCAACATTTTTCATAGTTATCCTTAAATAGACTTAGAGTTTTTGCTGTTATGTTTACGCCTAGGTATTTAACTGTTTTAACCACATTAAGTTCCGTCTCATTCTGAAACCGTTCTGACTCTGTATCAGTCAAATTTTTCCCCAAAACCTTAGTTTTCTGTTTATTTAATTTAAATCCCGCCACCCGACCAAAGTCATTAATCAATTGTAATACTCTTTTCGTACTGGGCTCTGGCTTCTGCAGGGTCAAAACCAGGTCATCTGCAAAAGCTTTTAGTTTATATTGTTTCTGACCAACCTGAATTCCTTCCACCAACCGATCCCCTCTAATCATGTTCAGTAGCACTTCCAGAACCGAAATAAATAACAAAGGGGAGATAGGGCAACCTTGTCGTGTCCCTTTTTCAATTTTGAACTCTTCTGTGACCACATTATTAACTATCAGTTTAGCTTTCTGTTCTGAATATATCGCCTCAATCCCATTCTCAAAACCCCGTCCCACTCCCATCTCTTTTAAATTTCCCATCATAAATTTCCAGGAAATATTGTCAAAGGCCTTCTCCGCATCTATGAAAATTAAAACTGCTTTTGTATTTATATCTGTTTGCAGAAGTTCCAAGATGTCAATAATGTTCCTTGTGTTAGCAAACAGATGTCTACCTGGGAGAAAACCGGCCTGGTCCTTATGAATTACTTCATTTAAAACTTTTTGAATCTACTTGCCAAAATATCTGCAAATATTTTGTAATCCACATTTAAAAGAGAGATGGGACGGTAGTTCTTCAGTTGTGTCTTTTCAGCTTCTGACTTTGGTATTAATGTGATGAACGCTTCCTTCCACGAATCCGGTGCCCTCTTCCCCTCCATAATTTCATTGCTGACCTCCATCAAGGGTTGTATCAAATAGTCTTTTAATGTCTTATAATACTTGGAGGTCAGCCCATCTGGCCCTGGAGATTTGCCAAGTTGCATGTTCTGAATAGCTTGTTCAATCTCCTGTCGTGTTATTTTAGAGTTCAGGATTGTCCTGTTTTCTTGTGACAATTTAGATAATCCATTTTTGCCAAAAATTGTTTAATCTCAACTTCGTCTTGCGGCCCTTGGGTGTATAATTTTTAAAATATCTCTGGAAACACTTTCTAATATCCACTGGATTCTGAATGTTTTTTCCATCAACCTCTAAGTTTGTAACCGTGTTTAATCTTTGTCTTCTCTTCAACTGCCAAGCTAGCAGTTTTCCACATTTATTCGCCGACTCAAACGTTTTTGTTTCATTAATTTAACCTTCCATTCAATTTCCTGATTTATCAATTTAGAATATTGTGTTTGATAAAGTTTAATTTCTCTCAGAGTTGGCTGTGACTTTGGATTCACTCTTAATTTCTTCTCTAATTCTTTTATTTTATCCAAGATCTTGTCTTTTTCTCATTTTGTGTTTTTTTCCTTACTACATTCTGTTGTATCAAGAATCCCCTCATTACAGCTTTGCTTGCGTCCCAGACGATTCTTTTTTCCACCGAATTATTCATATTTATCTCAAAATAGTCCTTCAAAACTTTTTGGGCCTTCTTGGTAATTTCCTGATCTCTAAACAAATTGTCATTCATCTTCCATCTAAAGGATCCAGTTGGTAGTAGTGTCATATCCATCTTTACTGCATTGTGGTCAGAACAGGTCTTTGGGCAGATTTCCACTTTTCTGACCCTAGGTGCCAGGCCTCTAGAAATCCATATTTGGTCGATTCTTGTCCAGGTCAGTTGGGCTTCAGAAAAGAATGTTCCTTCTCTACCTAGTGGGTTCTTTGTCCTCCAAATGTCGATCAAATCCATATTGTCAGTCATTTCAAAAAGGTTTTAGGTAGTCTGCCGTCTTTTGTAACATTTTGACTTTGTGACTTGTCCATGTTGGTTGATACGACCCCGTTCATATCTCCCATCGTTATGATGTTGTTGTAATCCAGATAGTCCAGCATTGTCCCCTGCAACTTCTTGTAAAATTCCGATTTCCCTTCATTAGGTGCATAGATTCCTAGTATCAACAGTTTCTCTCCTTGATATTGTATCTCAATAGCCAAAATTCTTCCATGTTCATCTTTAAATAGGAATTTAGGTGACAGGCTCTCTTTTGCATATATCACCACGCCTCTCTTCTTCACTTTATCCGACGAAACAAATTCCTGGCCTAATCTTTTATTTATTAACACTTTTCTGTGGAGCCTCGTCACATGTGTTTCTTGTAAACAGATAATGTCCAATTGTTCTTTTTTTAATATATGAAATATTTTCTTCCTTTTTTCCGGAATGTTACAACCATTAATGTTCCAACTCAACAATTGCAGAGACATCCTGGATCTATCTGGTTATTTCTCCCGGGGTGGTATCTTCTCTGGATCTTCAAGTTCCCCAGGTGCTGGTGTTAATGCTGGCTTTGCCCCAGGCCCAGAAGGTAATTCAATTCCTTTTTGTAGGTCCTCTCCGTATGTAGCCAAAAATTTGTCTCTCTCTTCCAATGTTCTAACTTTGACCTTTCTCCCTCTAAAGGTAAAAGATATTCCTTGGGGAAATTCCCACCTAAATGGAATTGCGTTGCTCCTTAGTAGTTTAGCAAGCTCAGAATAGGCGGCTCTAAGATCCAACAGTTGTCTTGGAATATCTTTATAGATCTCAATTCTTCTATCCAAAACCTCCAGTGACTTTCCGTAATGTAGGCCCAAAATCTTATCCCTTTCCTCCTTCGATCTCAATGTAATCAAACAGTCTCTGGGCCTCTCCTTCTTTATGAATCTTCCAAGTCTGAAAGCTGACACAATTTTAAAATCCTTTTCTTCCAAATTCCAGAACTTGGAAAATTCTTTGGTCAAAAACTCAGTTAAATTTCCTTCTTCTGCCTCTTGTAGTGATCTAATCCTCAGATTATTCTCACGATTTCGCAGTTCTATCATAGAAAGATAAGTCTGATGTTCCCCAACTTGTTTAGTGAGTGGTCTTACCTCTTGCTCTAAATTTTCCAATTTTTGTCTGGTATCCTCAGCCAATTTCCGATTTTCTGCTGAGGCCTCCGTTAACTGTCCAATTGCTTGTGTATTCTGTACCACTTGTATGGTTAATTTATTTAGACATTCTGTATTTTTATCAATCTTAGCTGATTGCGCATCTACTTTCTTGTCCAAAGCTTCCAATTTTTCAAAAAATTTTTCTAGAACAGAAACAGATACTCCTGAGGCCATATCTTCCAATTGTAACTGCTCTGCTTCACCCTCTCCCTCTTTTGCCTGTGACAAGGCAACTTCTTCAAGTTGTACTTCTGAGGGCAAAGTAGGTACAGATGATCTGCGTGTCTGCGAGGCTGAGGTTAGAGTTGTTAAAGTTGTTTGTCTAGCTCTCCCTCTTTTTCTTGTGCCACTCATTCCAACGTTGTCTATCAGTCAAGGTCACACTGAGTTTTTCCCACGGGAATAGAAAGGCCCAGAGCAAGCAAACAACAAGGGAATCGAAAGTAAATATACTTGTAAAGTCACTGTTTTAATCCAATCCTCTAGAGGGAGCTTAAAATGTCTTTCAGAGTCTGATTTAATGTCCAAGAACCTTCAAATATAAATATTTAGCAGAGTTTATAAGTAATCACTTTGTTACAGACAGTGCTTATTTGTCTCCAAAAAGAATGTTTCAAATTTAAAAAGTCTCAGTACCCTCAGATTGTTGCAGGTTCCAATATACAGTATCCAAATCAACACTGACAGCTCACTCTCTCAATGCTCAGGCAGCTCCTGACTCTGGGTTTCACCTTCTGATTTGTAATCCAATAAAAGGGGGAAAGTCAAGTGCAAATAAAAGTTCCAAATCTTCAGCTTAATGTCTTTACTTTAAGTTATAAGTTCAATAGATGCTTGGCTCTGTAGAGTTTAAAATCTCTTTCTTTCAGCCTCCACTCCTCCACCTTAGTTGCTTTTTTAAGTTCAATGGCTGCGGAAGACGGACTTCCTGTTTCCACGTCTCTCCGCTTTCAGCCAGGTTCAAGCCAAGTTCAAGCCAAATTGAAGTTTTTCATTTAAAGTCTCTAATTTAAAGTGATTCAGTCTTTACTCACGAGTAAGTTGCTTTTCATCCGAATCCGAATTTTAACAGGAAAAGGGGTCAGCGCTCACCGGCAGCAGCAGCGCGGCTTCACTCCGCAGACTGTGAAGCAGCTCTCAGCGCCGCAACCCCCCTCCACGCTCCGGAGCCCCTTACGAGGTTCCTTCTGCGTTTGGAGGGTTGCTAAAGGCGCCCACCGAGCCTCAAGACCCCAGGCTCTCGCTGCCTGGGGTTTTCCAAAATGGGTCTCCGCTTCGCCGTAGCGGACGACCCGATGTCTGCGGAGCCTCCTCTCCCGTCAGAAGAGGACCGCCATTGCCGTTCGCGCCGCCCCCCGGAAGCCTATTTTTTTATTAAGCAATTTCTATCCCTAAGTTGGTTATTGTAAGCATCTGTAAAATATAGAGCACTTCAGAGATTCTTTGGTTCAATAAAAAATGTTTTCTCTAACAAGCAGTGATTATAACTAGCTCCCTGTGTTTACTTTTATATGGCTACATAAAAATTGCTTACCTTAGAAAAATCTTAATTGCTTCAAACTGTGTAAAATGTGGCATGCGATATATGGGAAATCTCATCATTATTTGTTGAGTGGGCATATTGGATTAACATCCTGATGTCTGTGGGGATTTTTTTTCTGTTTGCCCAACCTCAATTTCTACATTTATGTCTTATGATATGTAATATGAGCTTTTGTTTAGAAAGAAAGAGAAACCCCAGCCCCACCCCATGTCATGTGCAACTTCTTTCACATCCCTGGCTCAAGCAGCCTTCTGAATCATGAGAGGCTCAAGTTACCTTTCGACTCCATTTCCCTTATATCAGCATCGGCTGATATGACAGCTGTGACCTACCTGGATGGAGATAGCAGATAACAGCAACAATGATGCAAGTGGATAATATTGTACGGCGTAACACTTTTGGGGTAGGTTTTTTTATTATTTAAAAAAGAGACTTAACATATCTGCAGAGGCGGAAAGGGTGAAGACATCAATTTTGCTCTTCCTTACCGAACATTTAAGGGAAACTTGTACTCTATCCATCAACCGAGTGGGTCACTCAGCTGGCAAGCACCAAAGGTGCTGATCTCAGCAAGATAACCTTTTCAATCCATCATCATTTGCCGTAAATAGGATTCTGTTCAAAGTACAGCAGAATGATGAAGACAGAAGAACTACACTGCTGTGCTTTTGTAGGGCTTCACTTTCAGAAAAAGAAACCATTGATCACTTGGCATGCCCAGGTTTAGTGCTCAGCGTTTGTACCCATGCAGGGATCTCAGATTCACAGGTATTAAAAGATGGCTTTCTTGTCTCTGTAGGAGCTTAGGTTTAAGAACAGAGGTATAGTCATGCTTTTATCCACCTGTGTAAAGGGTATTGATTTCCACGGGATGAAAGCATGTTGGGTTTATTGTGTGGCTGGAAGTAGGGGGAGAATTTTTTTTTAGAAAGACATGCTTGTTGATTGTTGAGTAGGGAGGAAATATTGAGGTGTGCCATTCAGACGCCAGAGACAACCACTGAAAACAACCTTGCCCTTTGGAGGAGTTTGATTTAATTCCCCTGAGGAAGGGAATCAACTGCTTTTCTATCATGCTGTTCCTATAACAAGATGTAATGGGGCAATCTTAGAATGGTAGTCCTGGAAGGAGCCTATGAACTCAACCAACAAGGCAGTTCTTATTGAATTTGGCTTTGGGCATCATTTTAAAAACAAGGGGAGGAAATTCCAGTGGTATGATGTATGGAAATGGCACCATGAACAAATGGGAGATACTGGCCAGGGATGGGGAACCTCAGGCAAGGGGGCCAAATGTAGCACATTGTCTGTCAGACCCACGCCCTCCCAAAGCACACCCCCTCACTAACCTTGCTTTCCATTTTCATCAACTGTTTGCCTGGCTGGAATGTGACTTTGCACTCTGGAGGATAAAGAAAAGACTGTTCTCTTCATCCCACTACCATCACAGGATACAAGAAAGGACCTTCTTGGTGCTTCTCCCAGACTTTGGAACTCCCTCCCTGGATAAGCTAGAGCAGCTCTCTCCTTATTGTGCTTCTGTCAGCAGGTGAAGACTTTCTTGTTCCAACAGGCTTTTGGTGAATGTGAAGAATCTAGCTTACTATGAAAAGGTAATGTTCATCTTCACTGCTCTGAACACTTTTGCCTTTGCTTCCCTCCTCCTCACCACTGGTATATGTTTCCTGGGAGGTTGTCCAGAAGGGAATGTGGCCTCAGGCGGAAAAAAATATTTCCCACTCCTGCTATATAAGTGGTGCAAAGAAAATCATGCTGCAGACAAATTTATTGTAAGGTGGAGTCTGTGAATTACTGGAATCTATAATTCCAAGGTAAGATACAATCATATGTCTTGTTTACGCTAACACCTTCCTTGACTTTAGGATGAAAAAGTCAAGAAGACATTTTTATTATTACTCTTATTACTCTTAGTTTGATGAAATTATGTTCAGTTAGCTTTCTCCACACACACACACCCCGCCCCCCCGGCCGCCACTTCTCTCTCTTTGTATGTATATATCTTTATGTAACTTAGCTCATTTAATAGTAGTATTTTTCTTTTTTATTAAAAAAAATGAGTGGGGCAAGATGCCATTTTGACTTTTCCCCTCAGGTGTGTAAATGACTTAGGAAAACATTGTCCACTGATCCAAGCAAGAATACGCTCTCCATAAGTCATTGTAAAAAAGGAGGCTCATTGATTTATTTACATTTGCAATCACGCCTATCCCTCTGGCTCAGACAATAATCAATGTGAACAGATGAACTCTCATCTCCAAGCAGCTAAACATCTGTTTCAGAGGGAATAATGGAATTAAAAGGGGCTGAGAAAAGGGCAAATATGACCACTAGCCTCCACATAGCAGATATGTCACTAACCATCATAATTATAAGATGAATCTTGGTGACTTGTAATGCTTGTCTGAAACAAGAAGCAGGGAATTACAATCCCTCAAATTCCTCTCAGCGTGGGATATTAACAGAGCAATCCTAATTTCTTTGCAATGGTCCTGGGGGAATGGAGTGGGCAGGAGTGTCCCTCCACCAACCGAACCAACTTCTGTCAGCCTCCCACCAGCAAGACCATCAGTGAAGGGATTCTGGTTTCCTTCCGCTGATGAAGAGCTTTCCCTTCCACCTACAAAATCTACATTGCTGACTCCAATGGGATCACTGCCAGTGCCAGTCAGCAGGAAACATCAAAATGGAGTTTTCATGGAGCAAAGCTAAGCCCACCAGATGGCCTTGCTGTCATTGCATGATGGCACTAGGCACAATCCAGGGACAATGGCTGTGCTAGTTTCAGGCTGATACAGTGATCTGCCTGCAGCCCTTGTTTCACCTTGGCCACTGTGTGCAGCAGGGCTACAGAGGGAGAGGTGGCCCTGCCACCCTGTAAAGCCTGCCAGGCCAGGGGGGCAGCTTAGATTGCTCCCCAGTTGTATTAATCTGTTGAAAGTTCAGCTGCAAGGCAATGCCTGTGTTCTCCTGCAATTTAGAGATCAGAGTACATTCCAATAGCTTATGTGATCAATTAGGGTAAATATTAAGCTTACCCCAATGAGAGAGGCTTGTCTGCCTCCTTGCCCTCTGGGTACAAGCCAGAGAGCTTTCTATTTCCCCCAAGGTTTTCAGATACAATTTTAACCCTGCTGACTATGCTATTCTGTTTTTATGGCTTCCGGCTTGTTATATATATAGATATATATTCACATTTACATTTTAATTGTTTTATATTCTTTGTAATTGAAGGGCAGTATTCAAAATACTTCCAAGAGACCACTCTAGGAGCTCAGTCTGCCCACTAGCTGATAGTCTGCACATATGCTTATACTAATAGGGCTACAACCAGTTAAAGAAAGTTTAATTGGTTAATTTTTAGTTGTTGTTTTTTGTCAGTTAAATGATTCACGTAGTGAATGAATTCCATACGGATTAAATGAAGTGTATTCTTACAGTGAGAAGCAGCAGTAAAGGCTAAAATATACGTTAGCCTTTTTGCTGGAATGTGTTTCTTGAGGGACCGAAAGGGGGACCAATCACGTTTTGATAAATAAATATCAAATTTCATACCATTACATATTTGGGAGTCAATCTGGTGTCCGGTGGCTTTGTATGGAAATGACGTTGGGAGGTTGATGGATTTCCTTGCTTGATGTACAATTATTACCTAGTGGGGCTTTAAAACCATAAGTGAGCCTAGCTGAGGGAATACAGCTGTCCATGAAGGCACAGGTCAATTCTGTGTCCAGGGCAGCTGTCTACCAGCTTCATCTGGTACACTGGCTGAGACCCAACCTGCCCGCAGACTGTCTCACCAGAGTGGTGCATGCTCTAGTTATCTCCCGCTTGGACTACTGCAATGTGCTCTACATGAGGCTACCTTTGAAGGTGACCCGGAAACTGCAACTAATCCATAATGCGGCAGCTAAACTGGTGACTGGGAGTGGCCACCAAGACCATATAACACCAGTCCTGAAAGATCTACATTGGTTCCCAGTACATTTCAGAGCACAATTCAAAGTGTTGCTGCTGACCTTTAAAGCCCTAAATGGCCTTGGCCCAGTATACCTGAAGGAGTGTCTCCACCCCCATCGTTCAACCCAGACACTGAGGTCCAGCTCCGAGGGCCCTCTGGCAGTTCCCTCACTGCAAGAAGCAAAGCTACAGGGAACCAGACAGAGGGCCTTCTCGGTAGTGGCGCCCGCCCTGTGGAACGCCCTCCCATCAGATGTCAAGGAAATAAACAACTATCTGACTTTTAGAAGACATCTGAAGGCAGCCCTGTTTGGGGAAGTTGTTAATGTTTGATGTTTTATTGTATTTTTAATATTTTGTTAGAAGCTGCCCAGAGTGGCTGGGGAAACCCAGCCAGATGGGCGGGGTATTAATTGTTGTTGTTGTTGTTGTTCTCCAGGCAGAAGGCAGTGTGAATACTTGGCAGTGGTGAATCTACAAGTGTAGAAGGAGTGCATTCCTCTCGCCTGCTTTCTGATCGTATGCTATAGATCCACCCCCAACATTTGCTGTGGCAAAATCTTGTTCAACAGTAATTCACATTAAAGAGCAGTCAAAGCTTTAAAACTTTATTAGAATACTAAAGGAATTATATTGTATCAGATTGCTAATTACTTTGGAAATAAATGAGTTCAGCTTTCTGGGTTGCTGTTTGTGTATTTCTGTTAGGCATACTGTTGCAATCCCCTGTATAAGCTGTTAAAGACAATTCAGGCTTTCTTCTCTCTCTTTCTTTTTGTAATTACAACAGAAAAAGGTAAGGTACTCCCAAGTAAATTTTCTTTCAAAGGAGACTCTACTGAC